TCTCTCTCTCTCTCTCTCTCTCTCTCTCTCTCTCTCTCTCTCTCTCTCTCTCTATATATATATATATATATATATATATATATATACCGCTATTACAATTAGATGCACAATGTACTTCTAATTGCTTCGCAAAAAAGGTAATATCTATCTCCCTTAAAAAACTGCCCTCATTTGCTGTTGAAATCTATTGTCTTAATGGGGAAATTTATCAAAATGCACTTAAAGTTGGATTGTTTAACTTTTTACCCAAAGTGTAATTTGATAAATTTCAAAACCATTTTGATGTGTCATTTGATGGTCTATTTGAAATTTGTTCGAAAGAATGATGATGTTAAATTGTTCAAACACTAATGTCTAATTTGATAAATTTCCCTTATCAATAACATGAACTGGAGAGAGAAATAGGAGGGATGGCATTTGACTGACCAAAAAAATCAAAATTTTAAAACCATTAAGTACTTATCATAAAAAACACAAGACTCAAATAGTTTTTTATGTCAATGAAATATAAAAATATTAAATACAATAAATTAAAGAAAATGTTGAATGAAGTTAATATTCAATAGCTATAGAAGTAAATATTTTACGAGTGAACAATTAACTAAAATCTAATAAAGAGTATTTTATTTAAGATAAATATTTAGCATTATTTTTTATCTGGAGAGCATGATGCAGTGCACAAACATAATTGTAATAGTATTTTATTTGTCCATTTGATAATTTTAGAGGCCTTGCATATAATGTAAAATGTTGTCTTGGACACAAAACTACTTGTAGAAGGTCTCACATTGAATAGAAAGATAGCTTCCAGCATCATCAACATCCTCTCTCTCTACTCCACTTGCACATCAGCAACACTCCTCATTTCTGCTTATAAGAGTAGAACATAATAACTGCCAATTGTGCTTCTACTATGGAAATATTACAACAGAACTGAAGTCTTTGATGGAAGAAAAGATAATATATTACGAGGAAAGTGGGTATTTTATCATTTCATCGTTCTTATTGGTTGAGTATTTGGGTTGTAAATGGAGGTAGAAAGCATGTACTAATGCCGCACTCTCAGCTATAATCATAGGATAGGAGGTTTGCAATAAATGATTATACTTGAAAAAATATGTGACATTATTGTCTTTTCTGTAATTCTTGGTGTGCTTTATTATGACTAGAAAGGATTATGGTTATATCTCCATCTTTTCTGGCAACTACAGCTGATAGTTGCCTCTGCTAAGCCTACTAGAGAAGGTGTTCTGAATGGTTGCAGACTTCATTTTCATGAATAGGAATTTCTCAATTTTAGACTTTAGTTGTTGCTATGGCAAGCTAAAAGTAAACACTTACAGATGAAGTGATTTCCTGCAGGGATATATCTAACAACAACTTCATAGGTGCTACTCAGTCAACCATTTGTCCATCCTCAGACCCGTAAGATTACTTGCTAATTTTAGTTAGTTCTTCTTTATCATCCTTTTTGGTTTGACTTGAGTCACCAAAATAGAAACAAAAAAAAGCACTTCGTCGGTTTTTGCCATTCCTGCTGTGAACTCTCTCTCTTTCTCTCCAGGAACATGCTTGCAAGCTACTCTTCTGTACAGGACAAATTGTAAGCGCACTGTCGTCTCACCAATTCTCGAGATTCTAGCCCCACTACACTGCTTTTATTGAATTCTCTTATTTTTTATAGACAATCAAGGAAATATATTTCTGAGATACTTTCTTTGCTGCAGAATCCGGCCATGCCTACGAAAAGGTTTCCCTTGTCCTGTAGAACCAAAAAGTAAGTATTTATTTTTCTGCTTCACATCACCTATCTTGTATATATATGTCTGTGTGTGGGTGTATGTGTATGTGTATGTGTGTTTGTGCACAGGTGCGCATGCTTTCTCTTGTACATGTTTGTTGTCTTAGTTCCTTCAGGCTAGCTATTATGGCACTTAAGTCTTTCCTTTCTGTTGGGTATGATATTAGGCTCCTGACATTATATTCGTGGCAGATTACAAGCTGTTTATAAATTGTGGAGGCAGAAAAATAACTATTGATGGGGAGGAATATGAAGAAGACTTGGTAGGAAAAGGCAGTAGTATGTTTGATGAAAGGGAGAAGTGGGCTGTTAGCAGCACAGGGACCTTCATGGACAATAATGGTACTCTTCGTGATATTTACGTACCCAGGAGTATGTCCAATCTTTTAGCCCAGAAAAACATTGAGTTGTACAGTACGGCACGTGCTTCTGCCATGTCCCTTTCATATTATGGGCTTTGCCTCCAGAATGGTAGCTACACTGTTGACCTCCATTTTGCTGAAATACAATTCACTGATGACCACACTTTTAGCAGCCTTGGGAAACGCATATTTGATGTGTATATTCAGGTAATATGTCTCATTAATGTTTTCTTTTTTTTCTTCTTCTTTTATTTCTGTGATACTGTATTTCTATTTTTCCTTGTCAATAAGGTGAGATTTGGCACAACTCATTAAAAACACAAGATAAAAATCAGAAATGTTACGAAATTCCTCGCTCTTGAGGATGCCGTCAGTGTGGAGGAACAAGTCCCTTACTAGTGGGTTGTTTATTATTTTGTTATCCATCGTATCATTGAATAATTTTCTGAAATGTAGGGCAAGAAAGTACTGACTGATTTCAACATAAGGACGGAAGCAAAGGGTCCAGGTATCGGTATCAACAGAACCTTCACCACTGATGTTACAGATCACACTCTTGAGATCCACTTCTATTGGGCTGGAAAAGGGACCACAAGCATCCCTTGGAGAAGTTTCTATGGCCCCCTCGTGTCAGCCATTAGAGTGACACCTAGTAAGTCACTCTTGTTTTAGTTTTACTAACCATCATTCTGGGTTTCACTGGCAAGTATATTCTCAGTGCCAGTGTCTGATTTAGTGTTATACTTCTAGATTTTATCCCAGAGATTGATGGTGATGACAAGTTTTCCACTGGAGCTATTGTTGGGATTGTGGTTTGTTCTTCCTTTGTGGTCTTCTTAATTTTGGCCCTCCTTTATATGAATTGCTATTTGGGAGGCAATGATAAAGAGAACAAAGGTATGGTGGGAATATGTTTGAGGGATAATGGGTGTGATTTTGGACAAAAACAGCAACGGATTCAATATTATCCTTTGTGACACTTGTAGTTTTGGAATAGATATTGCCTAAAATTTTTGGAAATGTCGATGTGCCACCTCTTTGGGTTATATATGTTCCAAAACTATGCTGAGAATGTTGCATTGTTTCCTTATGGCCTGATAATGAGTTGCACAAGTGAAGGGCCAGGATATTGAACCTTTTTATTTGCTGGGCTTAAAGATCTAAGAGTTAGTTGATGTGTTAAAGAGGAATAAAAGTCAGAATTGTAAGTTATATGATTAATTTAACCAATTGTTGTTTTCTTTTTGGACAGAATTAAGAAGCCTTGAGCTTCAAACAAGTTACTTTAGCTTAAAACAGATCAAAGCTGCTACAAAGAACTTTGATCCTGCAAATATGATTGGTGAAGGTGGCTTTGGGCCGGTTTACAAGGTACATCTGCAATCGCTATGAAAAGAAGAAAATGGAAGAAATCTCTCTCCTGCTAATATTAATTAAAGTTGTTTCCAAGCCATTTCTCAATGAGCATTTTCTTTCTTCCCCTTTGTGTTTCTAAATTTTACTTGCACTCTTTGCTTTTCCTTTTAAATTTTCCCAGAATTAGCACATAGAGGAAAATTTGCTGTAAACTAATTCACTGATACGTACCTCTTGCGTCATAATTCAAATTCTGGTTTAATTATATGCATTGTTTCTATTTGTGTGTGAAGGGTGTCTTGCCAGATGGATCATTCATTGCAATTAAACAACTTTCATCTAAATCGAAGCAAGGGAACCGTGAGTTTGTCAATGAAATTGGCATGATTTCTGCCTTGCAGCACCCAAATCTTGTAAAGCTATATGGTTGTTGTATAGAAGGCAATCAGTTATTGCTAATCTACGAATACATGGAAAACAACTGTCTCTCACGTGCTCTCTTTGGTATGCTTGTTTCCATTATCTCTTCTTTTATGGTGTGTTTATGCTCATATGCTGAAAAAACCGATTTGGCTAGTCATCTGACTTAGTGTATTTGGCGATATGCAGGTCCAGACGAGTCCCGGTTGAAACTAGATTGGCCTACAAGACTCAAGATTTGCAAAGGAATAGCAAGAGGCCTGGCTTATCTTCATGAAGAATCAAGACTGAAAATTGTTCACAGAGACATCAAGGGCACCAATGTTCTCCTTGATAAGGATTTAAATGCCAAGATATCTGATTTTGGTTTGGCAAAACTTGATGAAGAGGAAAATACCCACATCAGCACAAGAATCGCAGGAACAATGTAAGCAACTGATATAATTTTTCTTAGGAACTTTTTTCTCATGTTAATCCAAAATAAGGTATTTTTTTTACCGTAGTAAAGTTGAAAAGGTGACCTGGCATTAAATTTACTTTTGGAGTGATTGCTCAGTGGATGGCTATTCTGGTGTTTCTCATTTAGGATTAATGCCTAATGTACTGTGGCCCATGGTCCAGGGGTGTGGCACCGGTTTACTCATAAGTTGGAAGCTCATAGAATCCAATATCGAGTAGGTTCTCACTGCATGGATTATTTCATTTAAATTTTATCACATTTTTTTTTTCAGAGGATATATGGCTCCTGAATATGCAATGCGAGGTTACCTAACAGACAAAGCAGACGTATACAGCTTTGGTATCGTGGCTCTTGAGATAGTGAGCGGGAAGAGCAACACAAATTACAAGCCAAAGGAGGACTGTGTTTATCTTTTAGATTGGGTATGCAACTCAGGAAGCGTGTTCTTTTCACAGAGTGCACACACATGCACATACACATGCAAGATATATACTTGTTTGGAGTTTTATTATTTTCACATTAGTTGCCTGCTCTAATGTATGCTTGTTTCAAGTTTTATTATTTGCACACAAGTCTCTACATGTTCTATTTCGCTTTTATACGTTTACTTTTTTCACGTGCAAGTCGCAAGTAGTTGTTAAAAATCTTTTACATCAGGCCAAATTTCCAAATGATGATAGTGATGTCTTCTGTCACATTTGTTCATAAAATGGCAGTATATGATTTGATTCCATAAAGTTTCATTATTTTACATTTCTAGTTAATCTGGAACTTAAATCTGTAATCCATTGGTTTGAAAGCTATTTCAT